AAGTTTTATTCATGCAAAAAATAGAAGATTTAATGCTATGCAGACTATTGCATTATTGTAATTTTGTAAATAATGTCAACCCATTCATGACTGTGTATTAGACCAGCCAATTAGACGTGTATTAGACGGTGACATTATTTGTTTACTCTCGAATGTCAGAAAAAATCGAACATTTCTGCTACTTTGAGCTCAATTTTGAGGTACTTTCTAGCATGAAACCAATCAAAATTATATATGTTTCTGTAATATATTTTCTCTTCTATCAGGATTTTTTATATAGTGCACACTTACCACACAGACCTATTCTCTCATACATAGGTCCAAATTTACTGGTCACAGCTTACCTGAGTGAGCTCAGCTCATGGCGACTGACAGTGGCTTCAAAGCCACTTATCTTTTATGGACAATGTACAGTGTATGTGCTTTACACAACGAGAAGCATTTCTTTGATTCATTGGAACTATGGCTAGGGCTAAAAGTGAGCAGGTTATAACAAATGGAGTAAAAGAAATTGGAATGACTTACGTAGAAAGTAACACCACCAAACAGTAGTGGCAGGTTGGTGTTGTGACCCCGGAAATTTGAAATTATGCTAGCTGAAATTAGTGCCAGATTACTGATGGAACCAGATTATTGATGGCCAATCTGTATTATTACCATCGACATACCTTGTTCATCGAGTTTAATCATTTCATAAGATGCCATGGGAGACAAAGAGAATGTAAACACACAGATGAACACACCAGCTAACCTCTCTGCAGTGAAATACTCTTGTAATTCTTCCATTTTCCTCCTGTTTTTTCTCTTCCAAGTGCTGCTGCACTTCTATCTATGGGATGCACAATAGAGTACAAATATGTAGTCTTGGAGACTGTGAAAGCTAGTGTACTGAGTGGTTGTAGGAAGGCGATCGAGTTGCTTTATGCTGAAATGCTGCACTGCTTGTTTCCATGACCCAAGTTCTCGTGTGGCATACAATGCCGACTCGTCGGAGAGCCTGTTGTAACTCTGAGTTGTCGGTAAGCGAGTACTTAGGTAAGTGAGGAGAGACTGTATAAGTATTCTGTCACTCTAGGGCGCTTTAAATGTATATTATGTGTGGGGGGAGGGGCCATACCTACCACACGTGACCTCTTGCAGTAAATACTGCTCACCTCTCACCCCTACATTAAGACTACAAATATTTTAAGGTAAGTAATGAGTGTACATTTGTGTATTTTACTTTTTATTGATTTTACTGCCTAGTTCTATTGCTAACTTACTTTGTTAGTGTAAACTTGCTATCGGGCATTTATATCGTTTATATGTGGAAACAATGATGTTCTGCTTTCTGGCAATGTCCGCTTTCTGGTGGTAGCCTGGAACCTAACCTGTCATATAAGTGGGGCCCTGCTGTATGATGGTCAAATTCAAGTTGGCTAAAATTTCTAATTAGTGTATTAATATTCATCCTAAGATCTCGTTTAAAATTGTTTGTCAACTGCTGGGAAGACTCTAGAACTGCAGACACATTCATCACCTTCAAAACTACCATTAGAAAACATCTTATCTCCCTGATACACCCCGTCAACTAACTACACGAATACCACCTGGTGGTTCACACTTACACTCACTCACCCATTTGACCATAAACAGAAATATTAATCTCAGTCTTAAAATAATGAATCCTATGATACTCCAATACTGAAACTACGTACTGTGCCAAAACAAAAGCATTCACATTGCTAAACTCACAAACTAGTATTTAGTCACTTAGCCATAATACCAACTTACCTTATAATTTGTAATATTTTAAAATTAAGAATTAAACTAAGTCTGCCCGAAATGCCTAGCCATGCTAGGTGTTCTAGTGCTACACTCTGTAATCATTATTTTACTACATGTAAACCACACAATAACCAAATTCTGTAAACTCAGCATTGTAATCCTTATAGAGAATAAACTTGGAATTTGAATGTACATATTCCGTAGGAGGTAAGACTGCCTGGAAAGTTTTTAAAATAAAATATAATTTTTAGTATTAAAGTTAAGAAATGAAAGTAGCTCTGATGGAACTGGGAGAAAAGTTACCTTACTTGTCAGTTATAGCATTGCATTGTTATCTTTAACAGTTTGGATTGTATAAATCTTGCTGAACACTTAAAAAAATGCAAGTTGCTAATACATAAAGAAAAGCCATTTTAATGGCCTGCTTCCTCTCTGCAACTTGTTGACAAAACAGCAGGCATATTGTGATCCACAGTCTAAACTAGTAACAGCTGGACCTCTTAGCTTCAGCAGAGCCTTGTGCACAGAATAATGTTGATAATTATGCATACCATATATACTGAAAATTAAGGAAACTAATTTAGGTTCCCTGTCTGATTCAAACTTGTAAATAATCTAAAGATGCATGTCAAGCTACTACAAAACAGTCAACCACATATTGCACTCTGGCTTTAACTTTCTCAAGGATATCAACTGAGCAAATGGAAGTCCCGGATCACAGATGTTTAATGCACATTTTAGGTTCTCATTAAAGATTCCACCATTTGTGCTTGTATTGTGTACAAAGATGAATTTTGCATTTTAAATTAAAAATAATGAATTAAAGCCATCTTGGTAGATTGCTGAAATGGAGGGATTTTTATACAGTGAATCCCCAAAATGTTTAATTCATTTTCTTATCAGAAAAGCAGAAAGTAAGTAGAGAGAATCTATTAGAATGATTAGTTAGATAAGAGTGAAACAAAATTTGTGTGTATTTACTTAAATGCAGGCAATTTGATAAAATATGATAGTATTTTGTTATATTTATTTATTTATTTATTTAGTAATTTAAGCATACATACAGAGTTACAAAAAATACAGGTAAGAGCAGCATGCCAAAGCCACTTATATGCATAGCATTACGGGCTGGCTTAAAATTAACTTAAGATTAACTAAGCAATGATGAAATCAGTGATAAGACATTATTGTAAACAGATAACTATAAAGCACAAATGAGTATTACAAAGACAGGTCATATGGTTGCATGCATTGCTGTACATTCAGTCAAATGGAGTATTCTGTTAGGTAGTGTATTTAAAAAAATAACAAAGTTAGATTGGGCCCTAGGTTTAACATTTGTGTGATATAATTGTGAGTAACATATAGGATATACAATTTATAAGGTTCAGTTATTGAGTATTTATTTGGTTTTGAGTGAGTAAGTGATCTTTGAGAAGAGACTTGAATTTATAAACAGGTAGTGTTTCTTTTATATTTACAGGTATGAATTCCAGATTTTAGGGCCTTTTATGTGCATTGGTTTTTGCATAGCGTGAGATGGACACGAGGAACATCAAAGAGTTGATCTGTGCCTTGTGTTATGGTCATGTGTTCTGTTGAGGTTGGCAAGGAGATGTTTGAGGGGAGGGTTAATATCAGAGTTAAGTGTTCTATGTATGTAATAGGTGCAGTAATAAGTATGGATGTTTTGTATGGTGAGTAGGTTGAGTGTTTTGAATATTGGTGGAGTGTGCTGTCTGTAGTGAGAATTTGTTATCATTCTAACTGCAGCCTTTTGTTGGGTAATTAGTGGTCTGAGATGGTTAATTGTTGTTGAGCTTGGTTGCAAGAAATTTTTCTCTCCTATAATCACTTTGTTCATAAAAAAGAAATTTATGCACTCTGTTCTCTACAGTAGACCGTTGATTACCATGGTAGTTAGGTTCCTGAAAATGCAGTGTTAGACGAATCCATGTTAAAGCAACTGAAGAACTCGTGGGAAAAATAGGGTAATGTTCCTGGGACCCCCAAAAATGCTAAACAATGATTTTTTTAGGTCTACAGTATTACAAAAATAGAAATAATGTAGTAATATATAATAATAATAATAATAATATATATGATTTCTACAAGTACGTGTGCATGGTACACAGGCCTAGCTGACATCAATGACATACTACTATGTACAAAGCCGCTTCTTATGCAGAGCTTTTCGGGCAAATTAGGTCAGTTTTGTCACAGGATGCGACCAACGCTAGTCAACTAACGTCCAGGTACCCATTTTACTGATGGGGAACATAGACAACTGGTGTAAAGGAACACGCCCAGTGTTTCTATCCTTGCTGAGAATTGAACCCAGACCCTCACCGTGTGAAGTGAGAGCTTTAGCCACCGGGCCTTGGGGCGCCATAATGATAATGTAAATTTTTGTTCATTGTCGTTATGTCTAAAGTTTTTCTACTGTATAAGGCTACAAATGCAACAGAAATATTTCTCAAATTAAATTGTAGTTATTGGTGAAGAAGATTGTGAAGGGGGTGGAGAGACATGCTGTATCCCTACTGGACTGAGGTGGATGGTAGTCAAAGTTGGTACAGTCAACTGAGTGAGTCGAGTCAAGTCAGTAAGTCAAAACAGTCAGTCGAGTCAGTTGGTAAGTCATTCAGGTTAGTGCAGTTGGTAAGTCAAGTCAGTATGTCAGTCAGTAGATCAGTATGTCACTTAGTCCAGTCAGTATAATAAGTCAGTCAAGTCAGCAAGTCAGTAGTTTATTCGGGTAAACATACACATACAATTAAATAAATTATCATACATAGCATCATATGTAAACATTTCATGTATTGACTGGTATGCAAGAATCAACAAAGTTAACCCTTAAACAGTCCAAACGTAGATCTACGTTCACATGCGTAGTGCTTCGACCTTGATTTTTCCCTGTTTGAAAGCATGTAAAAGAAAGTAGATCTAGGTTCGGAGCCCCCCGCACATGGCCGTAGATCTAGATTTGGACAGTTTAAGGGTTAATCACAAACACAGTTCTGAAATCCCATGGTGCAGCTCTCAGCACTCCATTTTTTTCCCCCGGATGTGGTACTGTGTTAGTTGAATTTTACAAAATGTTAGTCTGAAATATGCTGGAGTTTTGCAATAGTGTAATGGAGAAAACGTGGTAAAGAAACCCATGTTAATCTATGGTCAGCTGTAATTGGAATGAGCAGATTTATGATTGTGTAATTCTTAATAAATTTCAGAGACTGCTCAGCTCTTGTTGTGACTTTGGGTAGCATGCTGATGAAGAGTATTCCCCGAGCTAAGGACACCCCTGCTGTAGCTGACCTAGTGTCCCTTGGACACTCTCAGGAAGAGGTCATGGAAGCAGTCAGGTCATCTTCCTATGACCACTTTACGATTGAGCTTGTTGATATCCAGGTACAGTAAACAAGGCTTTTGAGCTACCTCTCCAGTAACCATTTTTATCAAATACAGTGGAACCTCTGTTGTCGAATGGACTAGTTGTCAAACACTTTGGTTTTCGATCTGATTTGTTCGATTTGGTTTTTGTACGTGGTCTTGGTTGTTGACCGACAATGCTCGGATCACGTGATCACCAGACAGTCCACAGTGTGGGTTTCAGTCAATATAGCAACTAATGTGTGTGCTGTAAACATCCCTTGAGCTCTTGCTGTGCATCTTATGATGATGAAACCAAAAGTATAAAATTTGATAGAAAACTTTCAGAATTATGCTATCTCGAAGTTAGCAGTCTCGTGCTATTTACACAGTGATTTCACCCACTTTTGAGGCCTATTTTGTGCTAATTCCATTGTTCCAGTCGACCAAAGTCATAGCTATTTCGCTAGAACTCCTTTTATCCTATCAATTGAGTACAAGAAACTGGGCATTTACCTATTGCAGCTACCCAATAAAGTGATCTTTAATTATTAATTTGGCCAATTTCACACAAAATTCAAGAAAGACCAGTTTCAAAATAGGGTTCAGCATAAGCAGTGCAGAGATTCCTGGCACTAAAATGACATTTATCTGTTCATTAGTTACATCTCCAGGTCCGTCTTATATTACACTTGTTTTCCATTTTGAATTTTTATTCACGCAATAATTAGAAGACTTTCTGTTATGCAAACTACTACATAATTGTATAAATAATATCAATGTGGAGGAACAGGTTAGATAAGTACACTATCCTGCATGAAACAAACGTATGACAAGCGGTACTTACCTTTTAACAGCGCGATTTCCAGCAGCCGCTCCCTGGAAACACCTTTGGGTTGCTGTAGCAGTGTCCACATAGGTTATTGAGTAGTGAGTTAGACCTTACAATTTTCCCAAAAGGAGTGTATATCCAACATTTCACAAATATCTGAAATGCATAGTGTTACTCACTGTGTTATTGTGGATGGTTTGCTAAAAACTGTCTCTGAGGTTGGCAATATTCTTCTCACATAACCTAAACACTGCTGTGTTTAGGTTATGAAAGGGGAATAAAACCTACCTGACTCGTAGATGGAGTCTTGTCTTGGGTGTTGACATGAGGCCAATATTGAGGACTTAACTGAAGACCAACAGTGTGTTTTGGGGGAATGTTGCACTTTAGTTAGCCACAAACATCAGGAATGTTTGTTGCAATCACTTGCAATACCTTGCACGCTACGTCATGCAGGACCATTATTTGTTCATAGTTTCATGGAATTATCCACAGCAGGGAGAACACTAAATAACACTGTATATTTCAGCATTCGCAATGTTCAGTCAAGAAAGTCACACAGAGACTATAAACACTATGTGATTTGTTCTACCGTGAATTTTCTGACTCGTATAAGGGAACTAGTCTAACTTTCCTAGTTCCCTGAGATTGTCAGAATGAACAAGTCAAGAATGCACTGGTCACTACTGTCTTTGTCTTTTAATTATAAGGTGGCACTGCCCTGCTCTCGTACGTTTTCTGCATAAAGGAAATGCTGAACTCAACTTTATATACCTTCCTTGCTACATATTGCAACAGTGTTTAACACAAGAGGGTAGGTGTCTTGTTACTGTATTTAGCTGTAGGCTAGAAGTCATAATGTCCCTGACTTGTGGGGCACAGGTTTTCTCTTAATTTTCCTGCTGTGGGGAAAAAAGTAATTACTCTTGTTTAACCCTCGTTGTGTAGTTGATCAGAAATTCTAGCAAGGAGAGGGCGTGTCTGGAGATGCTGTGGCACATAATCTTTTTTTTTTTTTTTTTTTTTTTTTTTTTTTTTTTTTTTAAGGTTGGCAGTTTCCCACTGAGGCAGGGTGACCCAAAAAAGAAAGAAAATCCCCCCAAAAAAAGAAACTTTCATCACCATTCAACACTTTCACGATCATAAATTCCTCGCACCATCATCAGTAATAATTGTAATAATAATGATAGTAATAATAATTTATAGTTAGCCCTCCACTTTTGCGAGTTCCACTTTCGTGAGCTTCGAACATTCATGAATGCTCAGCCACTCAATCATATTTACTGAACAAATGGGGGGAAAAAGTATGGAAAAACGCTTCCCGCCACATCCCTACTACCCCTCCCCTTACCCCCCTCAGCCAACAGCCCGCCAGTCCACCACTCACTCATTGTCCAGTTACTGTTTGCGTCGATTGTGTCCAGTTACTGTTTGTGTCCGACAGTACACGTGTGTTTGTGTGGTGGTGCAAGTATGGCCCCCAAGCGAGCAGCAGCTGCTATTGATGAGCCAATCCGTACGTGCTCAAAGGAAGTCATGAATCTGGAGAAGGTGAAATTGCTGGACAAGTGTAGGGGAGGTTATTTGAGCAATTCTGCCTTTGGAAAATTATTTAATGTAAATGAAAGCACAGTGCTCTCTGTCAAGAAAAATGAGGCAAAGATAAGGGTGGCACTAGCGTCTACTGCTCCTCCCTCAACCAAGCAAGTGTCACAAGTAAGGAACAGTGTGATGTCTAAGATGGAATCAGTAGTATTTGTGTGGATTTCAGACCAAAAAGAAAATGAAATCCCATAGACAGCAATGCGATTCGTGCAAAGGGAAAGCCTTTGTATAATACGTTGGCTAGTGATGAGGCTAACACCAGTGCAGAACCAGGATGCCCTACCATCACTCATCCTGACTTCCTAGCAAGTAAAGGATGGTTTGATAAATTTAAGAGACGGTTCTCCTTGCACAACCTGAAGATGAGTGGAGACTCAGGTTCAGCAGGTCACATTTCAGCAGCTGCATTCCCTGGCGCTTTGAAAAAAATCATTGATGAGAAGGGATATAGGCCTGAGCAGGTGTGGAATATGGATGAAACATCCCTGTATTGGAAGATGATGCCTGCCAGGACCTTCATCGCCAAGGAGGAGAGGAGTGCACCAGGGTTCAAGGCTGTGAAAGTCCGATGCAGTGAAGAGTTAGAATCCACTCACCAGACTCATCATGCTGTGCAGTTACACTCCATATAATCACCTCCATTCAGCTGTCATCAGTAACTGCATGGCTGACTATCATCACCATCATCATTGTCATTGTGATCATCATTACAAGTCATCAGAGTTCGTCTGCCTAACCTTACGTGTTGTGTGTGTTTTGTTTGTTCACTGTTTATTAAACCATAACATGTATACAGTGGACCCTTGGTCAACGCTGGCATCGTTTAACGGTAAAATCGCCTAATGATGCGTTTTTTTGTAAAAATGTTAGCTCGACCAACGGTGAAAAACTCTGGTAACAACATTCGTCCCAAACACATCGGCCTGTCCGTCCAGCCTGAGTGCCTCAGCTGCCCTGCCTTCAGCTAGTGTGCCATTGTTTACAAGCCAGGGCGGATGGTTCCACGCATATACAGTGGACCCTCAACCAACCAACTTATTTCTATTGGGGTCCTTAATCTTGTCCCCCAGGATGCGACCCACACCAGTCGACTAACACCCAGGTGAACAGGAAAAAATGCCTGGAACTAGTGCTCATATTGGTGAATTTAAGGCCAGCAAAGATTGGTTTGAGAGATTTAAGAATCGTAGTGGCATACACAGTGTGAGAAGGCATGGCAAAGCTGAAAAATTCCAACCCCAACAAGTGTTCAGTTGTGACGAAACAGACCTGTTCTGGAAGAAAATGCCAGACAGGACCTACATTACTCAGGAGGAAAAAGTACTCCCAGGACACAAGCCTATGAAAGACAGGCTAACTCTCTTGTTTTGTTTCAATGCTAGTGGGGATTGCAAAGTGAAGCCTTTACTCATGTATCACTCTGAAAATCCCATAATGTTCAAGAAAGTGTCTCATTATTCATCAATACTCTTTAATAAAGGTAAGTGTCATTTTAGCATTTATTTATGTAGTTATTGTGCATGTCTCATAGTTTTCTTTGTAGGGAAATGTATATTTCATGAAAAAAAATGATTTTTTTTTTTTTAATATTTTGGCTGCTTGGAATGGATGAATTGGATTTCCATTATTTCTTATGGGGAAAATTAATTCAGCTAACGATAAATTCGACTAAGGACAAGCTCTCTGGAACGAATTAATATCGTTGGTCGAGGGTCCACTGTATACAATATTTTACGACGTTTTCGTGTGTTTTATGATTGTTCATGGTTCAGTAGGTTAACCCTTTGACTGTCGCGGCCGTATATATACGTCTTATGAGGTACCGTGTTTGACGTATATATACTCGTAAATTCTAGCGGATAAAAGAGAGTGCAAAAATTATAGGGGGATAAGTCTGTTGAGTGTACCTGGTAAAGTGTATGGTAGAGTTATAATTGAAAGAATTAAGAGTAAGACGGAGAATAGGATAGCAGATGAACAAGGAGGCTTTAGGAAAGGTAGGGGGTGTGTGGACCAGGTGTTTACAGTGAAACATATAAGTGAACAGTATTCAGATAAGGCTAAAGAGGTCTTTGTGGCATTTATGGATTTGGAAAAGGCGTATGACAGGGTGGATAGGGGGGCAATGTGGCAGATGTTGCAAGTGTATGGTGTAGGAGGTAGGTTACTGAAAGCAGTGAAGAGTTTTTACGAGGATAGTGAGGCTCAAGTTAGAGTATGTAGGAAAGAGGGAAATTTTTTCCCAGTAAAAGTAGGCCTTAGACAAGGATGTGTGATGTCACCGTGGTTGTTTAAATATTTATAGATGGGGTTGTAAGAGAAGTAAATGCGAGGGTCTTGGCAAGAGGCGTGGAGTTAAAAGATAAAGAATCACACACAAAAGTGGGAGTTGTCACAGCTGCTCTTTGCTGATGACACTGTGCTCTTGGGAGATTCTGAAGAGAAGCTGCAGAGATTGGTGGATGAATTTGGTAGGGTGTGCAAAAGAAGAAAATTAAAGGTGAATACAGGAAAGAGTAAGGTTATGAGGATAACAAAAAGATTAGGTGATGAAAGATTGAATATCAGATTGGAGGGAGAGAGTATGGAGGAGGTGAATATA